CCTTGTATTTGAACTCCTCCTCCTAAGGGAATTTCATCAGATCTAGCTCAAAATTCTGTCGTACAGACAGAAAATGTTGCTGATGTAAAAGTTGTGCTATGTGGTGCATGTATGTTGAAGGGTGTGTCCGTGGTTTGCCGTCCAAAGTTGGGCCACGTTGAATTCGGCAGCTTTTCAACGATTTTTTGCGTGGCCTCTTGAATGCTTCTCTCAGGGAACTTTCATCAGATCATACCTTCAAAATTGGTCCAGTAAGCTCCAAAGTAGTCTCTGCCTGATTAAAAGTTTGCCTAATTTGTGGCATGTACGTTGAAGGGCGTGTCCGTGGTGTGCTGTCAAATTTGGCCAGGGTTGAATCGAACTCACCTGTGAGGCATTTCCGGCATTTAGGCTTCTGTTTTAACGAACTCCTCCTACAGATTTTATCAGATTGACTTTCAAATTCGATCACTGCAATCTAAAACACATTGTTGATCAAAAGTTTTGCTATTTGTAACCTGTACGTTTAACCGGTGCCGTGACGACGTGTCGAATTCCGCCCGATTGCCACTAAAAACAGATAGTGCTCCTATGTTTCAGTGTTACAGTCCCACCCTGAAGCACATAACTCACAACTTCAGGTGTAGCATGGTCCAATCTAAATGAAACTTCACAAGTTTGGATAACAGTCCCGTCCCTGACACATCTACCTGACAATGATTCAGATATATGATAGCGCCACCTACTGCACAGGAAGTAAAGCGCTGCATAGCGCGACTTTGATCTGATTTACGTAAAAGTTTCATGTTTTGGTCCGCACATGTCACGCCTGCACGTGATGCGGCCGCAGCACACCCCGAGTTGCGTGGAGTGCGAGGGCCCGCTCATCTCTGCATGCAGCTTTAATTGTATTTATTATTTTTTTACCTTTACCTTTAAATGAGTGCTGGACAAAAACAAAAAGCAAAATCAAGTAAAGTACCAGTATGCTACATTAAAACGTAATCATTCCAGGGCTTGAGTGAATGTGCTCAGGACCTTTACCTCACAACCCTGGTCGTAGGTATTGACCTGTTTCTAGGTTGTCCCTGTGCTTTTTGTGAGTGTGCTCTGTACCTGTGAAGATCTTGTGTAAACCTGTTGTCCTCCTTACTAGCTGGATGAATGGGCTCGGCCTGCTGACTCTCTGCTGCTGGTTGGCTCCTCCACAACATCCTGCAGCTTAAAATGCCTGGGCTTTCTACTAATCAGAATTCAGGCTCTTTTTAGTGATCCAGATCATTTGGTCTGCTCTTTCTGCTCCCAGACAGCTCTTCATTAATTCTTATTAGTATGTGTGCACATGTATCACTTGAATTATTGTAACAATATATTATTACATTAGCATAATTACATTGTTAATGAAATTATCCTAAACCTTATGATTTCCAGAAGACCATAATTTGACATTAGGAGAAACTGCAGTGGCTGCAAAACACAAAAAACACAAAAGGACCAGTGTTTGTTGTTGTTGTCCGTTCTAGGCTACTGTAGAAATATGGCAGTTCAATGTGATGGAGGCGACCTGCGGCATCTGTAGATAAAAATGCAATATTTTATTAACACAGATAGAACTAAGATATTTTATTGATCCCCGGGTGGGAATTGGGTTACATTGCATTTGCTGAAGTTGCTAAACAAAAAGAAATTAAGAATAAAATGTATGCGGAAATATGTGCATCATACTACAGTATATAACAATAATATATATAAAAGATAGAAAATATGTATGTAAACAAATGTGTGCATTATACTACACTATATAACAATATATATAAAAAAATTGAAAATGAGAGTAAGGATGCAGAGACATTTGCATTTTACTGCAGTATAATATATATAAAAATAGAAAATAAGGATAAGAAAAAAAATAAGTATATAACAACAATATATGTTATTTTTTATATACAACAGCAGCAGCAATGTAATAAATTAATAATGCTGAGAACGGCATCTGTGAATATGTATACTCACT